ATTGTCAAATTAATGGAAAAAGTCTTGGACAGCCAGCAGTATAAGAAACAATGAAAATAAAAATCACAACATGTTAATGTTTTGACATTTGTAGTTAAGATAGCTAATAATTTTGGTGAGGGTAAAGGATTATGAACGGTTTGTTACAACAAATATGCAGCAAATGGATTTCTTGAGTCGGCATGAACAGAAGGAAAAGGATGGGTTAGGAAACTGCCTTGCCCAGACAAGTAAAGGAGTTGTCTGTGTAATCACCTTGGGGTCCTCGCAACCTAGCAATTGTCCTTAAATGAGACACACCGAATAAGTTGTTAGGCCTGTTGACCATTTCTAGGTAGAGCGTGTCCTTAGCAGCAACGGTCTGCAGAGGGGCCTCCACTGCTTGTATAGCGCCAAATGGTATGACCTACCAAGAATTCAGAACTGCAGCAGCGTCATAACTCCTGACTGCCGATCAGCTGTGAGGCTGAGTTTGAGGTGTGTGAACAGTTAGTGAGAGGTGAGGAAGGCAGTTATCGAGGTAAAAGACTGTATAATCAAAGTAAATTAAAAAGAGAGAGGATTAGAAAAAAACAAACACCCGCTGAAATTAAACAAATGAAAAGAGACATTTCCTTTTCCACAGCCTTTTTTTTCTTAGCTCCTAACAACAAAATCACAACTGAGGTTGAACTATCACCACACAGATTAATTAACGTTAGTGACTTTCCCTTCTGCTGCCACCTCACACTCAGCTGTGTGACTTCAAGTTCAGATTTAGCTTTGGCCAGTAACGTTAGCCTTTAGCTAGTAACTTTACATATTTAAATTAATGCGAGTGAAGCTGACAACTTTACACATCAATGCTAAAAATACAGCTGGTCGTCCAAATAAAGGCAGAACACTAACATCCCTTATAGCCATGTGGTAAACTGGTACTAATTTTCACAAACAAATGGGGCAACATACATTTAAAAACAACTTTTTCTGAACTGGCTCTGCTGTTTTATCGTAGTAGCGTACAATGCAATGGCTCAGGAGAACTCAGGGCTATGAGTGCCTACACACTAGACACCGCAAGGACGGAGTGGTAGACGCATGCAGATCTTGTCTGTCTAGAAGGCGTGCATTCGGCTGTAGCAGAGTTTGTACAGTTCGAAATCCAGCTGGAAACAAAACATTTAGACCAGAAACAAAAAAATATGGGCCATCAAAAGATCACTTAGGCGGTGGCCCCATACAGAGCCAAGCAGAGAACAGCCACGAAGGCAAAGAAGTCATATTGAACAGGAAAAGAGTGCATAGCGTCGCTAGCGTCCTCCATCTTGGATTTTCATCTGTCTTCTGCCTGCACGTTTCTATTGGTTGACGCGTCTCCATGTCAGAATACACTGCAGCAAAGGTTGAAATGGTTCGATGCTCGACGATGCGTCTTTTCACTGCATACAGGTGCGTTTCTAACCCGACAGAGCTGATGCAGCATCCTGACTGAAATACATAGGAGGACTGCGTTTCTGATGCTGCGTCAGCTTCTAGTGTGTAGGCACCCTAAGAAGGATACCCTGGCGCATCTCAGAATTCAGCCAAAAGTTTACCGCGTTTCTCGGTCATATTTTAAGAATCCTCCACATTCTTCTGAAATGGGACAGTTCTTATAACATATGCAACCAAGAAGTGAGATCTTCGAAGATCACAGCTGCCAAAAATGAGACACAGTGGTTGTGTGTTGGGTGGCGCTGGGCCTTCTTTTAGCCTTTGCTAAGACTTGTTCTGGATCCTCGGTAGGCCGTATCATTTGACGCTATAAAAGCAGATGAGGCTCCTCCACAGGACGCTGCTGCTAAGGACACGCTTTTCCTAGCAACGGTTCTTTAAATGAGACACCTGTTGTGTATTGGTCGGCGCTGGGCCTTCTTTTAGCCTTCTTCTTTAAAAGCTTGTGTTGAGGTGCCTTTTCAAAAATAAAGAGCTTTTGCCTAAAAAGCCATGCTATGTTTGAATATTCTCCAATAAACAGCTTCACTGGCCTCAGCTTTCGCCTTGTTGGAGCATCTGGTTGGTAGGTGGAACAGAAAAATATGAACAAAAGAAACTGGCGAATAAGAAGCTGACTTGACAGCTCAGAGGTGGTACGTACAAGTACTTTGTTACTGTACTTAAGTAATTTTGTAGGTATCTTGAGTATTTCTGTCACTTAACACTTTTGACTTATTCACTACATTTCAAAAGAAAAATCTACTCTTTACTCACTGCATTATTAAAACAAGCTCGTTATTTTAGTTTTAACAATCTATTTATCTCTCTATCTACTTATTTATGTATTTAATAAAAAAAGTCAAACTCACTCCTATGCCCAGATTACTATTCACTGACTATGACCCTCTCTTGGCTCTCCATATCTACAGAGGTAGTAGCATTAGCAGCAGGCTGAACTGCATGTGGGGGTGCAGCTCATTATCATCGGAGGGGGAGTTTTCTGGTGGAGAACAGTCTTCAACTTTAAATGACCTGTCTGTGGCAAAACCCCACTGAGATTCATCACTAACGTTAGTTGCTTGATCAATGTCTTATTAACTTGAGGCTAATAAGTACAATGGCTAATAGTGATGTCCTGCCTTTATCTCCCGGTCTCTCCTCCTCCATTTCTCCCTGACACTGCCTGCCTCCAGACAAACGCTTGCGATCAAACCCCTAATGCGTATTTTTCAAAAATACAGGAAGGGCGGAGACTATGGCACATGGAAAGCCTGTTGTAGCCTAAAATGACCCCAGCGATGCAAGTTGTATTTCAGTTTTTACTAGTAAAAAACATATTCCAACTAGTCAAAATACATTTCTGACTAGTAAGAATATAAATGATACATATCTGTAATTTAATTTTAACTAGTTAAATTTGTATTTTCTCTAGTAAAAATGATATTTTTACTAGTCAAAATTTAATGACAGATCTATTTAATGTAATCACAGATATCATCATACATCTTTACATGAGTAACAATAAATATTACAGATCTCCATTATGAAAATGTTGCTTGTTGATAGATAATTACAACCAGTCAAACTGGTGTTCTGACAAATTATAAATTCAATTTTAGATATCTACAACTGGCTTACTAGTCAGAACTCATATTCAACATATGCTAATTTGTAGAAGACAACACTCCTCTTTTCTTTGTCACATCAATTCTCTCACCAACATTTACCTGCATTTGGCAGGAGGTGGGAGATAATTTGGCTTTCACGATGATCTATTAATTGATATAATAATGTATTTTTCACAGCTTGCAAAATTGTACACCTGCTAATGTATTTCAAGCTTATTTGGTTTAAATGATTGAGTTAACATTTCACTTTTTAATTCATTGGCTGCACAAGATATAGATTTTAGCCTGAACTAGGCCAGAAAAAAGCACTTTGAATAGGCCTAATTTTCACTTTAACTGGAAGAAGGAAAGCAAGCGATCTGCAATAACTGGTCTCAAAAATAACATGCTGTTTATCTACGCTGCACATTTATCAGAAACACTTAATAACAGGTCAGATTACAAGTTAACCTACTTTTAAACTATATGGTGCAGTATAACTAGATCTAAAATAAAATCTAGACAAGCAAATCACAAATTAAACTCTGATTTATTTCAAACTTTAGGGTCCAATCCACCATTAAAATGTCATGGCCAGTAAAGCTACTTCACACACCTGTTAGCTAGATAAACTATTGATAATGTTTGATAATTTAACTAATCTTCTGGTTGCTGAAATATTGTTGATGTTCCTGAAGCCCTTCAGTCTCTCCCTCACTAATGTGACCACCTTTAATACTCTGTTAAATGAGTCAGATTCTTCCTATACCTTACATTCCTCTCCTTCTCGACTGCCTTCCATCTTGTGCCTTCCACTGACCTGCTACACACATACCACACTTTTCCCGCCTAATGTTGCTCTCGTAAATATGCATGAAATGCAAATGTCATAGTTGTTTATGACAATGTCTGAAATTTAATTTGTATATATGTTTCATACATATACAGAGTAGTTATTATTAGTCAAAACTGAATCATGACTCGTTATAATTCTACATTTAAGATATCAATAATATTATTCTTACTAGTCAAAAGAGAATTCTAGACATCTACAGCTGTATTTTAGAGATACACATCTCTAATACGTGTTATAACTAGTCATAACTAAATTAAAGATATTTTTAATTAGTAATTCTATTACACACACACACACACACACACACACACACACACACACATTTTCTAAGCCGTTTATCCTTCTGGGTCACAGGGGGAGCTGGAATCTATCCCAACAGTCATGGGGCGGAAGGCAGGAAACACCCTGGACAGGTCGCCAGTCCATTGCAGGGCTAATATTTCTAATAGTCAAAATTAAAGTGTACATATCTATAATTTCTATTAGTACAAATGTACAATTACATTTGTATAAATCTATAATTTTATTTTTTATTAGTAAAAATGCAATTATAGATAAGACCGAAATGGAATTCCATGTAACTCAGTGGTAACGTATGACTAGTCAGAATGACATCACTGATGTCATCCCGGCAATATGACTAGTCAAAAAAGTCAAAATTTCATGATGAACGGACCAACAGAAATGGTCCAAAATTACCTGGAAAAAATATTTCTCCATTTACTTCCATTAAAAGTTAAGAGCGTCTTTCCTTGTCCTGTAAAGTTACCTTTTTGGAGATACAAGGTTTTGTTCCGACAGCAGCGATATATACTTGATATTTTGCATAGCAGATATCTGGAATTACAGTTTTGACTAGCAGAAACTGCATTACAGATCTCTCAAATTTGAGTTTATACTAGTAAAAACAGACTTACGACTAGTATCGCTGGTGTCATGTTAGGCTAACACGGCTCGCCGTAGGAGACCACCTCAAATCGAGGGCGAATATACTCGTTTTTAGCCGTTAAGCTCCATTCACGCCCATTAGTTTAGGACTCGCTCTCGGGCGCCCTCTGCCGTTTTCCAGTCATGTTGTTGATATAAAGGGGAAGTGGGAATTGGCCAGGCTCCCCTTAAAACGGCTCTGGTTGTAGTCTTTCTTTTTTTTCTTTTTTTAAGGAAGAAGAGGGACTCCAGCATAAGGACGTAGAATACGGACAAATAAGAGTAAGAATTCTGCGTCGTCAACATAAATATGTTCCTTTTATATGTGGCGGTAGTATGTGACAACAGGTAATGTCCACAAAAATACAACTACGATAAAACGTTTGCAGCGGAGCGGCTAGTTGCACCTCTCCATTCCCGCTCGCTCGGCTCGGATAAGCTGTATCCTAGTGTACACAGCCGAGTGGAAACAAAATGGCGGTTACTACATGGGTGGAGTGGCTTTAAACCATAGGTTACAGCCTGTCGTTCGACCTGGCGCTTTGATAAAACGGCAGCACGCCGCGTTCGTGGCCATGTAAAGCGGCGAAGTTCCAGACGAGGCCCCTTCGTGTGCTCGTCTTCTCCTCCACGTCGCCCACGTAGCCGCTGCAGCTCGGCGGTAGGCACAGCAGCAGCAGCAGCTCTCGGTGTAGAAGCGCGGAGGAGGCGGGTCTGTGTTTTCACATTTCTGTCGTGGGAGACTGCATCACTGTCCGTTTATATTTGCTTGTGGTTTGTATTTTTTAAGGATGCACGATGCCTTTAAGCGTTGCTTGGTGTGCGGGGTCGCTGCGGTGTGAAATGCTCGTAAATGCCCGTTTCTCACTCGCTGGAACCTCAGAGCCATAAGCCTCCATTCGCTTGTTGTTCCCTCAGCGACATAATGTTTGAAATTTCGAGGAGCAGCGCTGATCGTGTTACGTCAAATGCAGAAATAACGGTTAAGCGTCATGGTTCGACGATTGCAGACTCCTATGCTTTGCATGGTGTTATGAGCAGCGTGAAGTCTGAATTATGGATCGGCCGACATACATGATAGCTGATAGCGAAAGGAGTGTGTTCGTGGAAGACTAGACCCAGTCCTGTTATATGAGACATTTAGTGCACAAAGATGAATGTCATGTAGAGAGAGATCAGTTCCTGACATGCATGTCTTTTTTGATGGCTCGTTTTTTTATTCTTTCGTGTTTAAAATCATTGTGGCGTTAGGGATGGCGATATTGCAGGAATACATCACGATACTTCAAGGCACGATACTTGGACAAGTTGTAACAGACAACAAAAAGAAGCAATAATGGCATGTTAAATAAATATGAAGACACTGCTTTTATTCAGTGTTGTACACAACTACTACACTAAGTTAAATTCAGTTAAAAGGGCTAATTATGCTCTTTTTAATGAAACGGGCCGTAAGTCAGTGTTTTTAAGTGCTGAGAGTATCCAAGGTATGTTCAGAAAAAGAAACTTGTGACGTAAATTATTGTCATAATTTGTCAGTGAATATGTTCTTATTGCCCTACCTCTAGTGACGTTTATTTGTCATGGTTTGTGTTGACAAAGAGGCTTGATTTTTCTTCCCATTAAAAATATTGCAGTCATATTCTGACCAATAAAACTTGTTTAACTGTGTTTGTGTTATACTGTAGGTAATTCATCCAGTCACACTGTGAGCCAAGAGAAGGTGAGGACACCGCATTGCTATTGTATTTGCTTTGCTATTGAGTCTGCCTTTATCAAAATGTTTTATTATATATATTTTTTTACTTATGTATGCTGTTTGTATCATTAGTGCATCTGAAGCAGGATGTCGGCCAGAGGAGGGAAGAAGAAGACCACCAAACTGTCCCGCTCAGCTCGGGCGGGGGTCATTTTTCCTGTTGGGAGAATGAAGAGGTACTTGCGTACGGGCACCCATAAGTACCGCATTGGCATGGGCGCTCCTGTATACATGGCAGCTGTCATCGAATACCTGGCAGGTGAGGCAGCAAAGCATCATTTCTTTGGTTACCACATCTTTAATAGCTGTAAACACAGTAGCTGACCCAGCCCTGGATGTTCTCATATATATGAGAATTCAATATAGAGTGAGAAATTTGGTATGATATGAAGAACCTCTTATGGTTATTACATAACTACCATATTTATTTATTTATTTTTTGTGTTTTTTTTCCCAGCTGAAATTTTGGAGTTGGCTGGTAATGCAGCACGAGACAACAAGAAAGGCAGAATTACTCCTCGGCACATCAAACTAGCAGTGGCTAATGATGAGGAGCTCAACCAGGTATGATAGCGCTCTACCACTCTCTTCTGTATTGCACAGAAGTGGAAGAATTGCCATAGCATAGCATTTCAGTCACCTGGAAAAACTGCAACACAAAACTCTCCTCATCCTTTTTCATTGGGAAGGTGAAAACAAGGAGAGGTCATTTTAGTTATTTCAAAGTTTTTTAAACGTTTCACTCCAGGGGTGTGAGCCAAAGTGATAGACTGTCTTTGGATTGAAGGTTTGAAATATTCATTTAACACTTAATTTGGACATGACCAATTGAATTCCACTCTATTCAGTTATAGACTGAGATTGTGTAGTCACGTAGTAGTTAAGATAGGCTTATGTGTAGCTTGTGATGGAGAACTTGCGATGTAAGTGAGTAACTACACAGCAAAAAGTTAAAATTCAGGGTTAAACATTTCAGGTTGATTTCCACTACCCAAGGTGCAATTTTAACACATTCAGATTTAAATGGCATTCAGTGTTGGAGTTATTTGACAGAGTTGATCGGATCAGTGTTAACCCATCGCTGCAGAGATGCAATTAAACTCCAGCCACGCATTTCACTTCTTCGGTTGGAGACAAGGAGACACATCAGCAGCATTTTCCTCCTCTTCTGCAGTTTATGCGGTAAGTGTAATACATTCAGTCTTACTGAGACACTTATAAATTGATGCTGTGAAATGCTGTTCGTACAATGAAATACCTACAGAGAATATAAGCTTTACAAAGCCTTGTCTGTTGCCAGGACTGAACAGCAAATGTGTGGAGGTGATTAGCTAGCTAACTAACTATTAGTTACCGTTTTCAGCTTTATCAGTGATGATTTACCAACTCACATGCAAGCTCTAAGTGATGAAAATAAAGCTTTGTTTTCTACTAGTGTTGGGTGGTGTCCCCTTTTTGTAAAACCTTAAAAACCATCTCAAAAAATGACTGCGGTTTATGATATTGCCATCTATTGATGCGGTCTGTAGATATCATCTATTGAACAACTGTGATAAATGTTAAACAGTGCTGCTAACTACGAGAGTGGAGCTGGTTAGTGTTAGCTTTGCAAGCATGCTAACAGCTCTGACCATTACAGAACATGTTCTATTAAGGCCAGCTAAAGCACTGACACAAGTTTAGATGATCAAAAAAAAAGATTAAAATCTGAGAGAGTGAAATCGAGCAACAGCTGAAGGGACAAAAAGGCAAAATTAAACCTGTTCTTGGTGTTTGGATCTGTAGCCTGTAGCTACCTTAACGTTAGCTTTGTGGGCAGGCTACAGACCCAAATAGTACAGGCTTGATTTTGGAAATTGGTGCTATGTTGACACAAATTTAGATGATAAAAATGTTTGAGACTAAAGCAATCAAAGAAAAGTATGCTCTTGGGGTAGTGACGCTGTTCCCTTCCCTCAAGGGTTCATATTCCAAGAGAGGCTGTGTAATAATCATTATTGTTTGCATGATGCCTTAATGTCATACTTTATGCATGTTGCAACACGAAGCCGTGTGCATGACACTGAGACTTGAATTCTCTGAGATTTGTTGTGAGCTGAAGATGACAATATATTTTTTTTCCATTTCAGGAACATTTCAATGGTGCTGCAAGCAACACAGGATACATTGCCTAGCATCTGAAAACAGTCCAAGGAAGATTCATCGAGGATCTGCACTGCCACCAAATAGCCGTATTGGCTTTTCTCCAGGAGGCCCAAATTTCCAAAGGACTGTTAATGTTGAAAGGCAGCTTGAAGGGGTTGCCTGCCATGTCTTTGCTCAACCATACCACAGACAATTCCCTGATTTTTCAGAAGATGAGAGAGACCTTTCAGCTCCATCAAAAGCTAGTTAATGACCCAGGTAGAAGTTCTGGTGTCCTCTCCACTTTCCCAAGATTTCTGGGTACAAAAGGATTGGTAAGTTTGGATTGAGATGTTTAGAATGGCCTGAAATTTCAAAGTATTGCCTGTGGTAGTAGTTTAATATATTTTTTTTTAAGGTGGATAAAGACTTGATTCTCCTATTTGATGACACGTCCTTCAGGGTGCTTCAGAAATGGGACGTGTTCTTCAAGCCAAATGACGTAAAAGAGTCTTAAGTGGCTCACTTTAACACTGCGTCACTTGTAAGTCAGCAGAAAGTCCACCAGGAAGTAATCTTGATGAGGCAACAAGTGAGTTGTATTTGTTTTGTTTGTTTTAAAGCATTTGCTATAATTTCAGCTACGGTTGCCTTAACTTGTTGATGCATTTGAATTGATTACCATGGGCTTCTAAAGAACACAATACATCTTCTACAACTCGTACAAAATGTAGCAGCACAGATCCTAACAGCAATAAAACAGAGAGCTCGTGTCACTCTCATTTTGAAAGAATTGCACTGGCTACCTGTATCATTTAGGATAGATTTTAAAGTTCTGCTGCTAGTGTTTAAGGGCCTGAATGACCTAGCTCTCTCTTACATCACAGAATGTCTGTCTGTCTGTGTTCCAGCACGTGATGTTAGATCTGCAGATACTGGCCTTCTGCATATACCTTCAGTAAAATACAGAAAAATTGGAATGACTCTTTTTGTTATTCTGCTTCTAAACTGTGGAACTCAGTTCCATCCTTATATTAGACAGTCATCACATCATTCTTGTATCTAATTTTCAGTGTCCTTATCTTGACGCTAGTCATGCGGCAGTTTGGAAGAGCATCTGCGCAACCAGCATGGTCAGCAGCTGTACCTTCTTGCTGTTGGGCTTCAGAAGAGCAAGATTGACAGCTTCTGTATCACCATGGATAAGCATCTCATCCCATGCCAGGCAGACCGCTCCCTTGGGGCATTCGATGAACTTTTCAAAGCATGTTTTGTGCTTAATTTGTCTTGCGATGGTGCACTAGTGAACAGAAGAAGACATACCTGTTTTTTGTCAAATTTGTGATATACTTTTGGTTGAAGATCATGTTTTTGAATTTTGATTACCATCATCACACATTCAGAGTATCACAAAGTGAGGAAAGGGGTGTTAATAAAATATCTGAGCTCAAATTTCATAAACCGTTTTATAATCGAAGTTCATATGATGTTGAAAAATGAAAGTTTATACATAATACCTTCATTCACAATGTTTTAGTTCAACTGTATGAATGACTGCAAGGGAGAAAAGGCAAAAATAAACGTTATTTTTGAAAATTATTGTTTCTTGGAATTCATTCTTCTGTTTAATTTGAACATGTTTCAGTGTAGGTATCTTGATCATGAATACTATAGAGCAAATAGTAAGAAATGTATTGCAGAGTAGTGTTTGTATTTTACTTTAGCGTTACTTTAACTCTGATTTACAAGTTAAAAAAGCAGCCCTGACAGTCTTAAATGTTTAACTATTTTTAAAGTGTTAATTTAACTTTGGAGAGGGGAGCTATATAAACCCTGAAAAAATGTTGAAATCAACTGTGCGAGTTAATTCAACACTGGACTTTTTGCTGTGTAATGTGTAACATATGGCTGGAGACAAGACCTTTGTATTCTCAGAATTCTTTATTCTCACTTAGAGACACAAATGCAAGCAGAGCATACAAGTATGTTGACTAAGACCTAAGTGTTCCAGCCTTAGAGATTGTATTAATAATGAATTATTTCTTTGTTACATGGTACAAGGAATATCAGGTGGCCGCTGATATTTTGCTAAGGTCACTCTAATATCAGGTATCAATCCAGATACGTTGTATTTTGTCGCTGTTGGAACAATACCTCGATACTAACAAACTGCAACTTTTCAGACATTTTTTAAGATATTCTTAGTTTGTTTATAATAGTAGTTATCGTAATGTAGGTATTGTACTGTAGGTATTGTACTGTTTATAATAGTATATTGTAAAAATAATTTTTGACTATTTCTGTAGGGCCATTCATTATGAAATTTCTACATAACGTAAAAGGCTGATGGCATTTCTAAATTGTGGAAAAACACACATTAAAAAAAAACTACCAAAAAATGGAGATACAAGGTTCAGTCCCGACAGCAAAGACATGCTGGATTGTAGAAAACTCCATAAGGCATTCAGTATTGTATTGACTACACAGACAGATAATAGGTGCATGAGTAAGTGCTGTCCAACAGCTAAAGCACAGCTACCATGTATGTATTCTTTTACACAAGATGTTTTCTGTTTTTTTATGTTAATTTTTTTGTGCAGCTGCTTAGAGGGGTGACTATTTCAAATGGTGGTGTCCTGCCTCGTATCCATCCTGAGCTGCTCTCTAAGAAGAGAGGAGGGAGGGTGAAGGTTGACACACAGGTCTCGGTCCCAGAGAAGACGGAGAAACAGGTCAAGAGCAACAAGAGATCTGGCAAAAAGGGCAGAGGAAAACCAGGTCGCAAACCCAGGGTCAGTCCACTGCTGTCTTCTTCTGTGCCAAACTGATCGTGTATGCATGTTTACTAATATATGCAGTCACACTGTTGATTTTGTGATTGTTTTAATCCTATTTTTGTATGGAATTTATGAGACTGTTGTATCTTGGTTAGAACACATTTCTCTTTTTTTAATGTTGGCTTTGTGTATGTAGAAGAATACAGAGAATGACAAAGAGGCATCCAACTCGACAGTGGATGATGGACCAGGAGAGGGATTTACTGTTCTCTCAGCAAAGAGTTTGTTCCTCGGACAAAAGGTGTACATTAGATAGTGCCCCTCTTATTCACAGTGCATTTCATTTATGTTTATGGGTGGCCAGATGGGACTAATGTCTCTTATTATTTGTACCAGTTGTCTCTTGCAGAGAGTGAACTCAGCAAAATTGGATCCATCAAAGTGGAGGGAATTATTAATCCCACAAATGCAGACATTGATCTGAAAGATGGAGTTGGTAAGTGGACTACAGCAGGGGGATTTTTATGACATTTGTGAGGACTTTATAAAATGTAATGAATATTGGCTACAAAACATAGCTGTTCCTATGCATTGCTATTATTGACTGATGAAACTAATTATTGTAGCTAACTAATAGTAATAACCATTTATAAAACACTTTTTGTACCATTGGCAGCTTAAAGTGCTTTACGGACATGTGATAAAGCTTATCATCAATAAAGGAAAATTTGAGTATTAGTCATATAAGGCAATGATGTAGATAAAATTAGTGTTTCTTAAAAAGTGTGCACTGAGCTTGACTGTCTAATAAAAGGTGGAATTGAGTTCCATAGTTTAGATGTGGCTTTTTTTAGGAAGCCCAGTAAAAAGAGCATTTTAGTAATCACCTTTGCTTGTAACAAATACATGAACAAGACATGAGACAAATACATGAAAAAGGCTGTGAGACAAAAAAGTCTGAACTTTAGCAATATTCCTTAAGTGATAAAAAGGTACTTTCATGACAGCATTTACATGCAGGATAAAAACCGAGCTCAGAGTCTTAAAATAACGCTCAGGTTTCATTCTTTAGGTTTGGAAAATGAAGCAAAACAGCCTAGCTTCTCACAAAGCATCTTTTTCTGAATTTTAGTACCAGTGATCAGTATTTCAAGTTTTTCTCAATTTAGTTGTAGAAAATTTTGTGATATCCACAGAGGAATATGTGCCACACAACTAGTAAGCCTGTCAACATTCTTGATTTTCAGAAGGAGTGGAAATGTATAATCTTGTGTAAACATAGTTATAAAAATCGATCATGTTTCCTGATGATGTTACATGGAGGCAGTGTGTACAAAGAGAAAAGTTAAGGCCCTAAAACTGAACCTTGTGGGACACTAGAAATGTTACATGTTTTATATATATATATAATCCGTGTTGACATGCTCTTCATTATCAGTGTTATCACTGCTTACCTACTGTGTGGTACAGGTAATGCCCTGGAGAAAGCTGGGGGGAAGGATTTCTTGGATGCTGTGAAAGAACTGCGGAAAACACAAGGCCCTTTGGATGTTGCGTCAGGTACAGTTTTGTGCATCCTGTAATACTTTTACAGTGAGAGTGGGAGTGTACTGTGTATGTATTTCCCATTGGGTTGAGGTCAGACACTGTAATTCAAGGTATCCAGTTATTGTTTTCTCACTTCAACCTGTTATGCCCTTTTCTCCTTCAATCGCAGTCGCGGTTAGCCAGGCCAGTGGGATGGCAGCGCGTTTCATCATCCACTGCAACATCCCGCAGTGGGGCTCAGAGAGGTGTGAGGATCAGCTGGAGAAGACGGTAAAGAACTGCCTCTCTGCTGCAGAGGAGAAGAAGCTTAAATCCGTGGCCTTCCCATCTCTGCCAAGTGGAAGGTGAGTTTTTGGTGATTTCTAACACATACAGACAAGGTTTTTAAACCTTTTTATTACCAGGTAAGTAACACTGAAGATTTTTAATGCACATCTAGACAGAGATGACTAGGATCACTGGGGTTGCATCTGTAGAGTAGTCTTGAGCACTGGGTGATGCAGTATCGCCTGGACACACAATCAGCCCTGTCTTGTTTTTCTAGCTAATAATAGCCGCATAACGTGATCAGACGGTGAACTGTGGATTCTAACAATGAGTAATGTACATTGTGAACGGCTACCCAGTTCATAATAGGTTGCTTGTAAAACGATCAACAACTCTAGCTGCTAGTACGAAGCTCTAACTACTGAGCGACCAGGTTGTTCTCTACCTTCATTCATGAGGGCAAACACCACTGTTTCCTGTGGTAAAGTGGTAAAGTATTTATTGCATTGCAACATTCTTAGCTAAACATCATCTTTTATTTATCTTTCACTCTCTTTCAGAAATGGTTTCCCAAAGCAAACTGCAGCCCAAGTGATACTGAAGGCCATTTCAAACCATTTTGTTTCAGCAACCACCTCCTCATTGAAGAACATTTACTTTGTGCTGTTTGACAGTGAGACCATTGGGATATATCTGCAGGAAATGGCCAAGATGGATAGCAAGTGATGACCATCCAGCAGTTGTGTTGTTCGCAAGTTTCATAGTCCGGATGCTAGACTGTCAGTTTTTATCAGATAAATTATCTGTACCAAATCATGAAAATAAAGTAAACTGACGGGCATTAGCATCCAGGCTATCAGCAGCAGTTGGTTTTCTTGTGGGTATAATTGGACTGAAGGTACTGTAGGTATAGTCAGAAAAGAAAGTGTATAAACAAGGGTGTTTGTGAGTGAAGTACTGTACGCGTTTATGTTACACTGTTCTCCTTTATGACACTCATTTAAAGTAGAAATTAATTTTTGCTGTTTCTGTTTTTAGACTGATCTTGTTTTTACATTCCATGTTGTACAACAACTTTTGACCATTGTTTTTAGCTAGATTTCCTGTGTAGTTTCTGATACAGTTAGTTTACTAAGAAAAAAAGTGTTTCTCATTCTGATTTGAAATAAAACCAGATGTTTTACACCGTATTTCAGGTGTAGCAATTGTGTCCTTCATAACTGAAGAAGTTGTCTTTCTAACTAAATCTGTTAAGTGCTGTGCAGAAAACTGATTTAGAGGTGTCAACCCACAGTCCCTTGTGAGTTCTCAACAGTAATGCAAGGGATTGAGAAACACCAACACTCAAAATGGAAACCCATGCACATCTGGCCAGCACCTGGTACAGTTCAAACTATTTAAATGAGGTTTTAATACAGGCAATTTGAAAAGATTGTCACGTTACAGTAAATCAGGCAGGAAGCATGCAGACATAGATCAGTCATGAAAGAAAGAAGCGGTATATATGCTGTTTCTAATGACGAACAGAAGGAACTAAAGTAAAATTCATTACAGATGTAATAATTTGAGAGGACCTCTGGTGTTTTTCAGTCTAAGCCCTACCTACTGTATCTGTCGATTACCACAGCCATTTTTCAATGTATGAAACAGAAAACCTGTTCACTCTAAACACTCCAGCACCTGACAATAGGCTTTTGTTATAAAAGAAACTTCTAAAAGTATGTTTCTTGTTCTTTTATTGCATCTATAATAAAGGTAGTACTACTGCGGAAACAACTGCTTCGTGACATGAAGGCGAAGTTATAATGCATAGCAAATCACTATTGTCAGAACAAAACCTGTAACTTTACAGAAGGAAAAAACCTACTTTACTTCTAATGTAAGTCAATGGAACCAGACTTTTTTCTAGTAATATTGGGCCGTTTCTTTTGGTCCATCATAAAATTACACATAATGTAAAGGGCAACAGGCATTTTCAAATTATATCAAAAACTGAAAAATGACTAAAACTGAGACGCAAGTTTTTGTTCCGACAGCAGCGAAATGTATTGCTAATATTGTTAAATGTGTTGCAACAGTGTTTGAATGCAACGGTGGTATCAGTGGAGAACAGAAGTACTCTGGCTCAATATAGCTGTGTAGTGTATGTTAGCTTTGTTACACACATCACCACACAAACTGTTTACCATATATTTATTACACTGTAAAAAGTACATTTTATTCATATATACAGATTTCATGTAATTCACTGTTGACTATGGAATTAGTGCCTGATTTTTCTAAAATGCAGTACAATAAAAGCACATTTAACTTTACAGGGGGAGGAAAAAAAAAGATTCCTGAATGATTCAGAACTTTAGCTGCTTGAGAGATTTTGTCTTGGTTATTCCAATTCAGTACCCATGTACCGTAAGAGGACGCAACCAAGCAAACTGTTGTAACTGTTGAAGTATTTCTCACTCATAATGGAAGGCTCAGCTTTGAACAGGCCCTGGTTAGCCTATCCCATAATGAAGCTAAAGACTTTGGCTGTTTAGGTTCTTACAAAAAAAAGAGCATTTAGCTGTACGGTGATTGGAAGTTCTGCGTCCTTCTGTTCTGATATTCAGACGCCACACACTGTGTTCAGGACTTGAATTAAAGATCAATCCAGCCTGTAAATGTCCAGGAAAGTCCAGAGTGAAGACAGCTCTCCCATCCATCTTTATCTTTGGAATAAGGGGTACAATAATGAGGAGTCCCTCCATGTAAGAACTTATTTCATAAAACCTTGAGTGTGTTCTGCACTCCCGCCTCCTCATTTATATGCAGTGAACCATTTTTTGTTCTTATGTTTTCTTTTTAAAGATTCCTAGTGGTCTTTAAAACCGAAATGGTTAAACTTTGAATTACACCAATATGAGAAATATAAACTAATGCACAACGTGACCTCAATACTGTACTTAATTCACATAATCTCTTTAAGACCTATCAGGAGTAAAAAACAATGTGATAAAACCCGACATGCAGATTTCTGCTGAAAGCACATTCAGTCATTTAAGCCAACTTAGACTCAACATAGGAACAACTCTGGAATGTTCTAGATGTGCGAGTTCATCGAGTACATTTTTCATGAAGACCAAAAAAAATAAAAAAATAAAAAAAAACCCAGATCATCTTTGCCACTGGGATCAATCAGAGGAGAAAATATTAAATCACTAGTTAATCCTCAAAACGACAACTTCTTTTGGGGAAACCATTTTGATTGTAGATGTTTTCCAAATGAAACGCGTGGTTTGCATTTCTGAAGTTACAATGCCATGGTCTATGCAGAGCACAGTATAGTTATGTCAAAGCCTAAGAAATCAAATATTTGAAAAAAATATAAATTATGTTGTTTAAATTCTTACTATACAGTTAAAGTGATCTTGAGTGGTGTGATGGAAAGTTAGTGCTAGGCCATTTCTAAGGTATTCCTCACACAGTGCAGTCTGTATACCCCAGAAATGAACATATTTCTATCTGTAAATCCTATTTAGTACACATTATGCTGAACCTAAAGCAAATAAATTATTTTATATGATTTCTGTCAAAGTAAATTTCAGGAGTAATCTGAAGCACTGTAGTAATAATATATTAAATCTGCCCAAAAGGGTAGAAATACTCTAAGTTAATCCTGAATCAGTGGTGGTCTGGTCTCATCACTGTAGATCAGTCCTTCATATTCCAGTTGTGCATGCCTAGTCTGAATAAATATTATCTGTGCAAACTGGATCAATAAAGGACATTAACTTCAACAGCACTGGTGTAATATACCTTTGTGTGGGCATGTTTTTAGGGAGGAAATGAGGGGCATGCGAATCTCTCTTTCTCTCTCTCTCTCTCTCTCTCTTTCTCTTTAGCTCTCCATTTCTCTTCCCAAGTCTTGGCTCGATGTATTTTATTTAGTTTGGGCTGGTCATGAGGCAAGCAGGAGAATGTTAATGCAAAGAGAGCGCAATGGTGTGGTACGCTCTCAAGTCCTCCGGTATCCTCCTCCTCTAGAGGCAAAAGGCCAAGCTGGAGTGTTCTATTTGACCTCTGAAGTGTCAGCAGGTTCGGTTGACCGAGGTGGCAGCAGGGGGACGGGTGATGTGGCCTCAATGAGGGCAGGATTTAGAATGATTGGCAAGGACATGGGGGGCACACCCACTTGCAGTGGAGAGGCTAAGGGCTGGAGTATTAGAGGAGACTGGCTAAGTGGAGGCGGGGACTCAGAGGAACTCTTTACTGAAGAGGGCGCAGGTGGAGTGGAGGGGGGCACTGGAGATGATCTATCAGTTCCTGTAAGAATTTGAAAGAAAAGCCAAGTAAGCAGTAGGCATGTGGTACAAGGACTCGTGCTCACATATTTAGCAACTCATGTAAAGCTGACCAACCACAAACACATGCATAATGGTCCAGTAAGTATACAGAACACATCACAACATTCTGTCTAGCACTGTTCCTCTAAGTATGCCATAGGATACATCGGGACAGCACTGCTCCAAGCTCACCGTTGGCACTGGGTGTTGGCATGTCCTGGGGTGATGCAGGTCTGCTGGGGGTCTTTGGCTCTGTAGGGGCTGCTGGCACTGGTGCAGGAGCTGGCACAGGGGAGGATGCAGGAGAAACGGGAGCGAGAGGTGGAGTAGGTTCTACAGAAACACTAGGGACAGGCTCTGTATACATTCAAGGCACAAAAGAATAGAGTACATCAGGCGGAAGGTCCCAATAACCATAAACATACAATTGTACACTTGAGGTCAAAAGCATAGCGAAGGGACAGAATGTTACAGATTCTGAAGTGAATTCTGTGAAATACGTGTACTGTTACCTGGCATGACTGCCTGTTTAAAGAGTTCCTCTCGGAGGTGGGGCAGGAAGCAGTCAATCCTTTCCCAGGTGATCTCCCACAGGTCAGAGTAGCCTGTACGAGAGTCTGCACTGTGAAAGATGCCTGCAGTGTCCATCACCAGCAGCATGTTCTTCAGAGACTCAGGAATTGCCTCCAGCTGCACAGACCAGTCAAGCAATTAGTTTTTTAAAAAACAAAAGTACTACAAATACGCAATATATATATACAAATAAATACTCAATATACACAAGTATGGCTGCACACATACCTGAATTCTGTATTAATGCACCAAGACAGTAAAGACCATTGTGCTCATGGGACAATCTTTGACTACTGTGTTGCTTGGCAAGTACAGCCTATGGTTAACAAACTATACTAATTTATAAAAGCAATAAGCCATGAGAGGCTCTTGCACACTAGATGCTTTACATCCACCAACACATCCTACCTGTGGTAAAATGACTGCAAGGCATGAGGCTTATTACTATACACAGGTGTTTATTTACACAGCAGTCAGTCAGGAATATCCTACTTTTTGGCCCAGGAAAACTACAACCATCACTTCACTAATTTCCTGTTATTGGCCATCTCTTCTTCTCTTCCCAACATGTTTCACAGATGAAGTGACAAGTTTTGGTTCAGAATCAGTTCTTTTTCTCTAGACTTTCCTCATTGCATCACTCTGGAACAGGTTCATTTTTTATCTCATCTGTCCCCAAGACCTCTCTTTACCTCCCCTTTACACCCACCCACCCACCCACCCACCCACCCCCACACACACACACACACACACACACACACACACACACACACACACACACACGTATACCTACAGTTGAGTTGTGTGAAAAAACACTCTCCGAGCTGAATTATGTTTTGATTTTCTAAGTGAAAAAAGTTAACACAGCAAACAAATATGCTCCATAACTTTTTTTACAGCCCACAATTTATGATTTATTTTGTTCCAATAAGTTAAATTCAGCAAATATACTGCAACTGTATATTTAAAAAGTGCACAGGTGTTCTCTATCGAGGATGTGTACCTATTTTCACATCGAAAAGCAACGAAACATAATTTGACTGGGGTGCAATTTGGCATACAAGTGCACATAGTTCTATGTATAAAAGGGTTGTAATTCCTATACAGTTCACCCAATGCAGATACATTCAATTAAAGCTGACAATCTGTACTTTAACTTCAGTGAGTGTTTCACTTCAAACCAAATCTGAATTAATGCTGACATTCTGCACTTTAACCACAAAGTCACAGATTTATTTCAAATCCAATTGGCACTGTCTATTTACTTACATACTGTATGTGGTACAACACTAAGA